TCCTAATAAGTAGCGAGTATGCCTATATAAAGTTAACTCACGAAAAAAAGATGTGATGATTCTTATATTAGTGTTAAATTGCGTACCACAAATTATATATATAAATCCGGGATTTATATAGCGACACAAATTATATACAACATATATAGCCAGATAAAGTTACAGATTTCAATTCATGTGACTTTTGGCCAGTGTTAGTTTCACTAGCTCTGGCCAAGAATTAAGCGGAAGTAATCGGCGTTATTTTTGATTTCTAAATTACGCATTCATTTATCTGATAGCGAAATACGATGGATTCAAATTTTACTAGTTTCGCAAATAAATGGTACACACACCAATTAGTGTTATATAACGTACACACGCTCAGTGGGCAAACAAACGTAAGCAGCCGATTTTTCGATTTTTCCTGACATAAATGTAAGTTTTTATTGTTGTAACTTATTTATTGGTGACTTTTTTTATAACAGCAGCAAAAAAGTGCGTGCGTCAATTGAAAGAGCGCGTGTTAGGCCCATGTCAGGCCCATGTCAGATCCATGTTAGACGCGTAGTTTATACGTTTTTTACTATTGTAAAATGATCGGTAAATGATCGGCAGGAAAAAAAACCATATGTAAACCCCTATCGCCATGTTTACAATAAGATCGTATTACATCCAGACCCCACAGCTCTACAGACTGCGCAATACAAGCATTCTCTGTCTGCTCTGACATACGCACTTACTAAGCAGTGTGAAAGAAATAGATGCACAACAGCATCTCCGTACGTTTCATACACGACAACGGACCGTCGAGGAACAATATTCGTTTTGCTGGTATTCAAGTCAAGATTTTTAAAAATGACCTTTATTTTACCCACGCGGCTTCCTCCTTTGAGTTTTTTACGCGGATCTGGATTGGTACATGGACAAGCGGTACCTGTAATGCTACCCCAGATCCTATCGGCAGCTAAAATGGATCCAATCTAATATAATATAGATAGACCTTAGTCAGGCTGATACACAATGTCTCGTTTATGTAATAAGTAACGTGCAGTACATTACCTGTTTAATTTTTGCCAACGGCACTCCATTGACCCTCTTAATACTCAAAGTTACTTTAAGCAATTTGGTACGTCGTAGCTGGTTGCCATGAATGTCTGTTGCGACATTTTCCTTTAATTTAGCTGTGCGCCTCCTCAATGCTGCTGCCCATCCGCTCATACACCAAATTTCTTCCCCTTGATTTAAAAAATCTCTCACGACTACCTCGGCGACAATTGAATTTAACACTACTCTACCACCAGCGTATTTTCCAATAACTTCCCGCGGTCCTTTGAACCCATTTGCTACCATCGCGAAATTTTTGTGCACATTTTCTGAGCTTCCTTGGATGCCAAGACCGATATTGTATACTTCTGATGGATGTCGTTCACGCAATCCAGCTACGATAGCGCGTGCAATCGTCTCGAATAAATATGACATCGACAAGCCCTCTATAATGTCTACCAGACCGACCTCTGAAATTCCACACATCTGTGCAAGACCTATAATGCGAGTCACAATAACCATTATATCGTTCTTCGCATTGGAATCGTCACCTTCTAGCATAGCCTCTGCGTTAACTAGATATGCCATTGATTGGTTAAATGATTGCCTTGCACCAACGGCATTTGGGGCGTACCTATACAGAATAAAGGAATAGTTAAAATAAGCCAATCTTTAAAGATAAGTCTAAAGTAACAAGATATCTACCATATATTCAAAGCATCAGTAGCTCTCTTTCTCATAGCCTTTGCTAAATTTGCAGTCTTTGGCCACGCACTTCCAACTCTCTTATCCCACGGTTGGAATTTTTTATTCATCCAGACCTGCACGCGTGTTCCTGCTACTACGGCAACTTCTTCTACATTAAAGTTCATAGTTTGCATGAATGCCCGCACATCTGGATAAGCCGTCAACCCGATTTTTTCCGCCAGAGCCTTATCGGTAAGTTGAAACCCGTTGTCACCAATAGCGGAAAGGTAATCCTGAACCATGAGCTTTTGAAATTGAACGATCAGGACTTGCTCGCATGTTTTCTTGGCCTTATGATCCATGTACATATTGAGACCAAATTTAATGCCACTCTTGATTAGACCACCTCCGTCAATGTTAATGTTGCTTAGATCCATGGTAGAATTTATAAAAAGGGAAGAAATTATAACTATACACTATTAAAACAGACAAGTAAATATCTAGATATTATGAAAAAGTTATTAGGGATGACTGACTTGGACTAAAGCCTCTTGACTCCCCATTTTTATATCTATGTACACTGTTTTTAACACACTGTGTGATATAATTATTTGAAACGTAGGAGATGCAACCCTTAATTAATTAACGTTATTGGCCAAACAATGAACGCAACTTTAACCAAAGAAAGTAAATTTATTCAACGCATGGTGCGGTGCAGCATCGCAAGAAATTGTTTCTTTTTTGTTTTACCGAAAAAAGAATTAAACTTATTAATCATAAATATATTAAAGTTTATATTGATTAACATTAATGTTCATTGGAACGAGGTTTATACAAGTTTGGTAATGATTTTCATTTGAAATTTCTGTATATAATAATACATGATTAGTACTAAGCCAAATTAGATTAGAGGGCTGATATCTGGCAGATCTGTTTATTCACACACGATCTATCCGTATTTAGAGCTAAATCGGGTAATTTACTGTCGCACAATGGTGATTCGGACGCTAAAATGGAATAAACTGTTGATAACGTAACCCAATTTTGTTTAAGCCTAAATACAACGGGCACACAAAGGCGTTTTCACCAATAAGCTAACATTTAGTAAATCAAAGCATTTCGACATGTCCATCGACACAATGATATGTCGGGCTGCATTTTTTTTTTCACGATTGCACAATCGTATTTCTATCGTCGCACCAATAGAAGAATAATCTTCAACGTATTTAGTAACTCAGCACATTTTCACAGTGATAAATTGTATTGCATCCCGCACCAATGGAAGAACCATCACTAACGTATTTAGCCACTCAAAGCATATTTTTCACAATAATATGTATACTTGTATCTGCACCTAAGGATAACGGATACTGCTATATCATTAATATGAGAGATCACTTTACCAAATTTAGTTGGGTGTGATGCTACGCTATAAACGGTGAAGTATTCTCTCCTTTATTTCTGCGTTCCTCCAACGGTGCCGCAGCACAAATCGATCAGCGGTAACACCAGCACAGCTGCGGATTTCAGCATGGGCACTGTCAGGAAGTACCAAATATTATTGCGGAGTACGGGCACTGTCGGTTTTACAAACATTTCGGCACTAGTAGTACGAGCAGTGCCAGAGCACTGACGGAACGGAAAAGAATAGTGGCAAATGCTTCGGTTTATTCAAACGTATACAATTAGACTATCGATAGAATAGTAGAAGTAACTGCTAAAAATAGATCAATTAGACCGATCGAAAGATATATAAGTCGCGTAGATTTCAGTTAGATATAAAAAAGTCAAGAAGTGCATGTTTAGCAGGACTAATTACTCTCGATTCCTTTATTGTAAGTAAATGAGTAGTCCTTTATACTCTGAAATACATTGTTAATGATTCATTCCCTGGTAATTATCGGTATAGCTGAGAAA